AATCTGACTGGATGATCTGGTTGAACTGTCTCTGCAAAGTGACCTGAGATGACATGATGTGAACTGGAGCTATAGAAATAAACTGAAATGAATTCTTCTCACATATAAAGTCCTAAATAAACAAGCTCCATCTGATATCAGGGATCTGATTGTTGTTTATGTTCCTAACCGAGCACTTTGATCTCAATGTAAATACAAATGTATACAGCCAGCTGAAAGAAACACTAAAATCTTTTGACCTTTGTAATGTAATCATTCATTTGTCAAGGTTTTATTTCGGTATAGATTTATTATATGAACGAATTAGTTAGCTGTAGATTTGATATTAACCTTTTTTAAGCCGAGGTAGCTGCGGTCTGATCTCTGCTATCATCACGCGTCTGTTTCCAAGCTCTCCATATCTACACCTCAAGTGTTTTGCCCCACAATTTAATTTTCCAAACTGATTTCCCTACCACGGCTGAATGCTGTGCTGTGACCACTTTTGTGAAGACAGAATTTGAAATAGGGCACCACATGTCAACAGATAGAGCAAATAGTTTGTCTTTGTAATGATGACAGTTGGGTGGATTTTCATTTGAATAAATCTGACATGTGCCTGTGTATTCAGTGATTCTCCAGCCCAAACACATATTGTGTTTGACTTACACATTAATGGCGGCTGCCTCACTGTGCCAAGCAGCTGCATATTAGGGCCTATTACGTGATTTCATAGCTCTTAGAAAATTGCTCCTATTCACAACGAATTGGCTGGGGTGGGGCAGCGGGGTTGGTAGAGGGAGGAGGGGGTGGAAGGACAGGAGAAAAAAAAGCCTGCAACACACAATCATGCCTTTTCAAGCGGAGATGGCAAGGTTGATGACAACATGACCATTGTGTTATAATGATAACACCACAAAGGCATCTGCCCTGCTCATCAAGGCTTTACAGAGGCTGCAGATACAATTTAATTCACTGCTCCGTTGGCGGCGCTGATACCATTATGCTGCACGTTGGCACGGGGGGTAATCACTGTCTTTCTTGAGAGCAAAATTAAAAAAAAGACAAGCAAAAAAAAAAATATAGGGCAGAAAAAAGATGGAGTGATGATGATGATGGGGAAGCCAAACTTACAATTAAGACTTCCATTTGTGAGGTGTCAGAGCCCCCTGTAGTACTGTTTATTTACCATGGCTACCAGTAATTATAATTAACATATCATTCAGCTGTAAGTGTATTTTCATCGGTCTGGCCGCGGCGGCATCGCTGAGACGGACAGATAGGACAGCTGAAAAGGTTGAGTATGAAAACTGGATTCTGAGTGCGTTTGTGTTGGCTGGTGTGGACGGCATCGCTGTAGCGTGGATATCACTCTGCGCCGCTGTTCATCAGTTCCTTAATTAGGTGTCACCATGGGAAAGGAATTGGCCACATCACTGGGATTAATGGTGAATGTTTTCCCTGCTTAAATATAACGTTTAATTAGTTGAATGGAAGAGGACGCTCTATGGGCATTTCTGCTTGAGCTCAACTTTGAAAGGTGTTATTCTTTTTAATTAAAGGCTTGTATACATATATAGAATTATCTCAAAATAGAGAAATAGAATATTAGTCCAAGAGATGACCATAAATAAAAGTTCAGTGTTTATTTCCTTTTTGATGGGAGAATTAGGTGGATCCCCACAAACATTGGATATCAGGGAGTGTAGCTTTAAGATGTTAGCCGTTTCCGCTTCACATAAAAGCCAGATTTTTTTCCAGTCCTCATTAGAGAAACTTTCCAGATCTTTTCCTATTTTCTAGTCATATCTCAATAAAACTTTTTCATTACTGATTTGGCAACAATATTGCAACTTTGAAATTTGATCGCTACTGATCCGTCCCGGAAGCACAATCCGTCCTGCGCAAACAGAATAACTTCCAGGTAGGCAATACTTTTTTTTTCTTACTTTTTTACTCTTTTGGGTTTCCTCTTGAATATTTTTGTATTTGCGTAAATATTGCACATCTAAAAACGAAAAAAAAAAAGCAAAACACTTAAATAGCCTTTGGAACGTTACTCTGACTGCTCTGAGCATGTCCGATGATGACATCACGCAATACAATGGAGAGAATGTGACACATTGTCAGGATTTGGTGTTGGATTGAGGACCCAAAAGCAGAGGCAAGTAGGCAGAGGTGAATTTAGGTGGGTTTAATGAGGTTCACAGGTAC